ACCCCAGATGTGACAGTGCGGGGGCTGGAGGAGAAACCCTTAGAGGCAATGAAGTGGAGACGGTGAGAGAGATAGGAATCGAACCAGGTAAGGGCAGATCCGTGAAGATTGAGTAAAGTGGAGAGGCGATGTGTGAAGATGGAGTGGTTCACGGTGTCCAAGGCGGGAGAGAGGTCGAGGATGACAAGGAGGCAAAGGGAACCCTGCTCACAGATGTTCAGAATGTCATTAGTGACTTTGACCAGGGCTGTTTCCGTGCTTTGGGCAGCGCAGAAGATGGATTGGAGGGGTTGAAAGGGAATGGCGAGAGAGAAAGGAGCGGACCTGGACCTTGGAGAGGAATGGGAGGTTAAAGGTGGGGCGGTAACTGGAGAGGAGGGATGGATCCAGGGAAGGTTTTTTCAGAATGGGGGTGATGACGGCTGTTTCTAGGGGGGTTGGGAACTGAACCGATGGACAAGGAGAGGATGATGACATCGGTCAGGAGTGGGGAGGGCCAGAAGGTGGAGCTGGGACGAGGAGAGAGGTGAGGATGGGATCGAGGGAGCAGGTGGTGGGTTTGAGTTTGCAGACAATAATGGTGAGGGAAGAGAGAGAGATAGGGTCGAAGGAGTATATGGGTGGATGGGTGGGGGGTGGGTCATGAGGGAAAGGTGATGTGGTGGTGGCTGTGTACGGGGCTGCGGTGGCCTCGATTTTAGATTCGAGGAAGTCCAGCATTTCCTCACAGTTGGAGTTTGAGGCGAGGATGGGTGACTTATGGGAAGGTGGACGGGGGAGACGATTAGTGGTGGAAATGAAGGCGTGTATGAGGGTTTCGGCAACCTGTGGTGTGAGACAGTGTCGGAGCCAGGCAACGTTGCGGAGGTGGGGGAATGCTTAGCAAAGTTGAGTGTGCAACCATGGATGGTGATGCTGTCAGCGCCTGAGGTGTGGAGGCGCTGACGGGAGCCAATCAGGAGAGCCTCGGTCTTGTTGACATTCAACTGAAGAAAGTTAGCTCTCATCCAGGACTTGATGTCTGACAGACATTCTGTGAGGACAGCAATGGTCCTGGAGTCAAGAGTGGAGGCAGAGAGGTAGAGTTGGGTGTTATCTGCATACATGTGCAAGTTGACCCCATGTCTGCGGATGATGTCACCAAGGGGAAGCATATTGAAGAGAAGGGGACCAAGGACAGAGCCCTGAGAAACGCCGCACGAGACGGTCTGGGGGCTAGAGGAGAAGCCATTTGAGGAGATGAGGTCCAGGCGGTGTGAGAGGTACGATCTGAACCAGTCTAGGACAGAGCTGTGGAGGTTGATGTGAGAGGAGAGGCGGTCGATTAGGATAGAGTGGTCGACGGTGTCAAAAGCAGCAGAGAGGTCAAGGAGGAATGTCATTTGTCACTTTGACCAGGGCTGTTTCTGTGCTGTAGGCAGCATGGAAACCCGACTGGTGGGGTTCTAGAAGGGAGTGGCAGGAGAGGAAGTAGCGAAGCTGAGAAGCAACAACTCATTCCAGGACCTTGGAGAGGAAGGGGAGATTTGATTTGAATCATATAACCATGATACAGTATATACAAACGCAGCTGTATGCAATTTTAAATGTGATTGAAAAAGTAAATGCAAAACAATACTTTAGGATGCACCATGATAGGAGAACATGAGATAGATTTAAAGTTGCAAATAGCAATTTCAGGAAGCTTTTCGTTACTCTGAGGGCAATTACTGACTAGAACAGATTGCCAGGAAAGGTGTTAACACCAGGGCACTGGATTAATTAAACAAATACAGCTTGAAGATGTTGCAATGCGAGGACAGTAATGTGTGTATTCCGAAAGAATGAGATCGTATGGGCTGAAGGGACTTCTCCATCCAAACTAATCTTGTGATTTTGTAATTTTATTAAAGGGATTTTATTCTGTTTTTTTAATCTGATCTGGGTTTGCTGCATTTTGGCAAAGTGGCACATGTGGTCGTAGAAAAGGCATAAATGCTGCTCCTGACTATTCTGTAAATGCTCAACACTAATCCGGTTACTTGTCCTGTACTGTGAGCAAGAAACTTGTGAACAAGACTCCAATGATGGTAGAGATTAGACAAATTCCCTCCTCGCCCCAAACGAAGAAAAGTAATGTCTATGTGGAGAGTGTCTCTGCAAAACAGTATCTAAACCAAACAGGGAACTATATTAGTTTTGGATGGTCTTAAGCATAGTGTCAGATACCTGGCTAACCAAAGAAAAAGTAATCAGTGACTTTAAATGTTCCCTACCATGTGACATCATCGTGATGATGAATTGTGGATTACTAAAAGGGCACTTTAAAAGGACTCTTAAAAATAGCAGCACATGTAAACAAAGACGTAAGAAATGCAAATAGATTCCTTGGTTTTATGTCCAGAGGAATAGAATATAAAAGTAGGGAAGTAATATTAAATGTATATAAAACCTTGGTTAGACTATTTCGAGTACCTATATATAGTCCTGGTCACCATATTACAGGAAGGATATTGTAGCAATGTAGAGAGGGGACCTGAATAGAGTTGTTTAAGATTATGAACATATTTAATAAGGTGGATGTTGATATGCTAGTAAATCCAAAACAAGGGGGTTAAATATAAGATAGCTAGTAGTAGATCTAATGGGGAATTTAGGAGGAACTTATTCACACAGAGAGCAGTGGGAATATGGAACTCACTGCTGGAAGCTGTGTCTGAAGCAAAAAAAGCATCAGTATTTTTAAAAGACAACTTGACGCATACATGAGGGAAAAGGGAATCGTTATAGGTAAGGGGAATAGGATGGGTGGGGACTTGTGTACAGTATAAGCACCGGCACAGATTAGTTGACTTGCATCCGTACCATATTAGTCATGCTAATGTATTTCATTTGTGAATGGACACCTAATAGTCAAATTGCAGTATAATTACATCACTTCTGTTTTTTGCTTTCATCTACATGTCAGTATATCATGGGCAGTTTGTACTGTTATACAAATGCATATGCATTACTGATCATAAGCCTACATTTCACAATAACATTGTACAGAGACGTTCTTTTGATGCAATGGTGTGTAATAGAATTGCTTGCATTAAATGTATGTACCCCATTGCTGTATATTACAGTCTTTGCCTTTATTATATTCTGAATTTTAAAATTCATCAATTCCTTTTTAGATGTAATGTGTGATTTTCAAACCACAGCTCTGTTGTTTAAATTCCACACGTGTGAAATGGATTCTCAGATAAAGCTTTGTGTAAATTTATATATGCTGAAAATAAAGAGTTGGTGCTTTAGGTTGAGAGTTGTACATGCCACAAATCTAATAATGGGAAATTCGATATGTATGTATCAATTAATCCAATGGGCCACATGCTTTCCTGCTGCACTTTTGTTGAGATTAGATCCACACGTAGCATTAAAAACAAAATAAACAATTTACATGTTATTTCCTTCCAGCTGCATTTACAGGATGATCAAAACAGGAAGCAACAGTGAAAATGACATGGGAGCATTAAAACAAAACTGTGTCATGGAATAAGTGAAAGCCAAAAAATAGTGGGCCAGTTTCTTGAAGCGAAAGTCATTGAAGCCAAATCATCTGAAATAGGAGTTTTTCAAACTTCATCTCAATTGCCCCAGTTTGTCAGTTTCCCATTGTTTACTTGGTTCAGTATTCATTGGTGAAAGTGATTTAATTTCCATTGTTTCACCTTAATACTGGAACACCTCATGACCAAAAAACATTGGTTTAAAGGGAGCAATGGGCAGAACACAATGCAGGGAGTAAAACTGAGTTTTCAAGCCGTATCTAACTAGAACTGTCTGGTTCCATTATTTGTTGTTCAACTTGTTCTCCTAAAAGTGAGAAATAATGGAGTCCTGTAGCTTAGTGGTTAGAGCACTCGCCTCGCAAGCAAGAGGACCTGGGTTTGGTTCCTGGGCAGGGCAAAACATTGGGCAAGTTTTCTTACTCCACACGCCTCTGTTTACTTTGCAGTAAGTAGGAACCCAGTTGTCAGTCGATTGGCGGATCACTTTTCCGGGGGTAATAATTCCTTAAAAAAAAAATATTTTGGTCACACAATCCATGACTATTTGTGGGACACTGCTGTGCGCAATTGGCTGCCATGTTTCACCCACAAGATATGCTGGAGTCCTGTAGCTCAGTGGTTAGAGCACTCGCTTTGCAAGTGAGAGACCTGAGTTCAATTCCAGGCAGAGGGTAAAACCTTGGGCAAGTTTCCTTACTCCACACACTTAATAATAATGCCTCCAAAACCAAAACCAATAATAAATTGGTCATTTTCAATCTACGACTGTTTGTGGGACATTGCTGTGCGCAATTGGCTGCCGCGTTCGCCCACCAATATACAGTCAATTCACTTTACAGTATATTCTGTGAAGCGCTTTGGGACGTCTAGAAGACGTGAAAAGCACTATATCAAATGCAAGGATTATTATTATTATTATAATGCTGTCAATTCACTTTACAGTATATCTTGTAAAGTGCTTTGGGACATCTTGAAGACGTGAATAGGTGCTATAACAAATGCAGTCATTATCATTATTGCCAGGGTGCAGTTCCATGGGCGTCATCTGTTCTCCAGTCGCTCACTCAAGTGGTCATTTATAATGTCATCCTAGACTAGAGGGTGCTGGCACCCAATGCACCTGCCCACATTTAATCTGCTCAATCAGAAGGGTTCACGAAGTATTAATAAGGAGTGATAACTCTGGCTCATTTTTCTCCCTTCCAAACTCTGAAGTATCATTGCCAGTTGAATTATTGAGAGAGGCCAGATGTAACCAGAACTTTAAAAGCAAAAAACACAGTGACAAAGTGCCACTGAAACAACAGATATTGTAGAGATATCTATAATGGCACTGTTTGAAATTGGATAACAATTCAGCATTAACATAACTTTTATTGCTTTTTAATAGCATTAAGTGTCTGTAAATGCATAAAATACCATAAAGCTGTCTTATTTTGTGAAATCATTTTCTCAATCCTGCAGAAAGGAAGCACAACTGGATGTGGAAGGGCAATTTCTGGTACGGATTATATATGATGATTCCAAAACATACGATCTAGTAGGTGCAGCAAGCAAAGTCCTCAGTAAGTATGTTTTTGACATAATGTTAAGAGTAATAATTATCACTTAAACAAGAGGAGATAATTTGTTTCATTCCAAATTGGGCGATTGAATAATGATTGAACCATAAATTTATTTTCAGTGATCATCATGTTAATTTTTATCTTAATTTAACTTAACTTAAACATGTTAATCTTGTAGTTAATCCCTCCTATCTGAGTCATCTTCTTCCTTTGCCATGCTTCCTGTTCCAGCACCTCAACAGTTATGTTTATTTTGCCTCTACCTGCCTGAACTTACTTCTTGTCACGAGAAGTTGGTAGATCCTTCCGAATATTTGATCGCTGACCTCAATTCCACATCTTCTTTCCTCAAACTTTGTTCACTTTGTTCGATCTCACAAGTGTCAGAAAAGCAGCTCCCAGCCTTTTCCCTGAGCTGCCTTTTCATCTTTGTTTTTGCCAGTTCAATCCTTGATTCTCGCTTTGTGCCATCTTTGATCACTAATGTGACAGCCTGGCTCAGTTAGTAGCGCTCTTGCCTCTGAGTCAGAAATTTGTGGGCCCAGAGTTGGGACTTTGATTAGCAACTAACATTTACATAGCGTCTTTCATGTGGGTAGTGTCTTGGAATGCTTAAAAGTGGTGTGGTTTGACACTGGAAAGAGAGGGCAGGTGACCGAAGGCATGTTCGAAGAGGAAAGCCTTCGGGTGTGATTTGAAGAGAGCGGAGAGGGGGCAAGACAGAGCGATTGAGGCAGGGAGTTCCAAAGATTCATGCTTAAAGTGGTTAAACTCATGTTGTCTATGCTGACACGCGAATAAAGTGCTGGGGGAATGCTGCACTTCACAGTGACATCCGGATGTGAAATTGAGGTTCCGTCCACTTGTTCAGGTAGACGTTAAAGATCTCATGGCACTTCTCGAAAAGAGAAAGGAATTTCTCCAGGCCAACGATCACCCCAGATAAAGTTGGTCCGTCACATCATGGGTGTTTGTGGGACATTGCTGCGTACAAATTGGCTGCCACATTCATCTGCAAAATCCATAATAATAACAAATTATTTCTATAATGGCTTTCACGTCTAGAGGATGACTCAAAGCGCTGGACAGTCAAGGATGTGCACCTGGTATCACTAAGTTTCTGAGTAAATCTTGTGAAGTGCTTTGAGATATTTTTCTGTAAAAATTCATCTAATGCAAAGGATTGTCATTATTATGAATAAAAATAATAAAAAGGTGAGAATGCCAAAGGCTTTTCAATTGTAAAGCATATATTCAGCATTGCCCACATCCCCAGATTCCTTGACCAAATAAAATCGATCAGGCTCTCAGTAACATCAACAGAAAACACATTCCATTGCTGCTGTGAGGCCGACTACATTCTTGCTTTACAGTCTGCCCCAATGATGAATGCAATCATGTTTCAGTTGCACTTGAACATCAGCTAAATCCGCTTTGCTCAGCCTCCTCAAACAGCAACCGTATTTGTATATCAGACTGCATTTAATAGGAACTGCTCAGCCAGCCATCCAGATCAGCTTTGGATCAAACATATCCTTTCCTCTGGCTTTATTCCCATTCCCTTAAAAACTGCCACCATCACTCCCACCTTGAAAAAACCCTCCCTTGATGCGTCGCAGCTATCAAGCTACCGGCCCATCTCCAACCTCCCCTTCCTGTCCAAGATCCTGGAACGAGTTGTCGCCACCCAGCTGCGCTCTTTCATCTCCAACCATTCACTATTCGAACCCCTTCAGTCGGGTTTCTGTGCTGCCCATAGTACAGAAACTGCCCTGGTCAAGGTCACCAATGACATCCTGACCATCTGTGACCAGGGCTCCCTCTGCCTCCTCGTCCTCCTCGAGCTATCGGCAGCATTCAATACGGTCGACCACGCTATCCTCCTCCACCGCTTGTCCTCCCACCTAAACCTTCAAGGCCCTGTCCTTGAGTGGTTTAGGTCGTACCTCTCCCACCGTCTTCACTTTGTCTCCACAAATGGTTTTCCTCCGGCCTCTGCACTGTCTCGTGCGGTGTCCCTCAGGGCTCTGTCCTCGGTCCCTTCCTCTTCATCCTCTATATGCTCCCCCTTGGTGACATCATCCGCAGACATGGGGTTAACTTCCACATGTATGCGGATGACACCCAACTCTACCTTTCCTCCTCTACCCTCAACTCCACGACCACCGATGCCCTGACAGCCTGTCCTTTCTTCCTGATATCCGCGCCACAACTGGCACCGCCTTCCATCACCTCCGGAATATCGCCAGACTACGGCACTACCTCACCCCTCACGTTGCTGAAACTCTGGTCCACGCCTTTATCACCTCAAGGCTGGACTATGGGAACTCTCTCCTCGCCGGCCTTCCCGGTACCTCCCTCCACAAGCTGCAAGTCATTCAGAACTCTGCAGCTCGTGTACTGTCCCGCACTAGCTTCGGGACCACATCACTCCCACCCTCGCTCGCCTCCACTGGCTCCCCATCCCCCAGAGGATCGAATTCAAGATCCTCATCCTCACCTACAAGGCCATTCACGGCCTTGCTCCCTCCTACCTCTCCGACCTACTATCCCCCTACCTACCTGCCCGTACCCTCCGTTCCTCTGGCTCCGGTCTGCTCCACATCCCCCGCCCCAACCGCCCTACCATCGGTGGCCGGGCCTTCAGCCTCTCAGCCCCTAGGCTCTGGAACTCTATCCCCCAGTGCCTTCGCCTTGCTTCCTCCCTTTCCTCCTTCAAGGCAGGTCTCAAGACCTTTCTCTTTGACCGTGCCTTCAGCTCCCCTCTCGACTCTCTACCCCTTCCTCGCTCCCTCCCTTCCCTCCCCTCACCCTGACCATTTCCCCCCTGCTCGTGTCCTGACCCAACTGTACAGCGCCTTGGGACGTCCTCCCGACGTGAAAGGCGCTCAATAAATGGAATCTTGTTGTTGTTTATTTGTATTCTCTGATACTGACTCCATCTCCATTCTGTGGCTCCATTGATTCTGTAGATGTTGATCAACTTCCGGTTCCTTACCTAAATGGCAATTTTAAGAGGGTCATGAGAGTGTATTCAATTGACTTGTTCTTACCTAACATCAATACACATCTTTTTCCTTCTTAATAGCACACAATTTAATTCTAGGCGATAGATTAATTTCATATCGCATTGTCAGCCCAATTACCCAATCTTTTCTTGTCTTATCTGACATTAGGGCTGTTCTTTTTTACAACAATACCGACTTGCTGTTGCCTACCTTCATGTAGACTAATGTTTTGGAACACTTTAGAGAGATGGTGACAGATACCAGGTTGGGGTGAGGTGGAAAGTGTGGTTAGCATAGTCATGGTCAAAGACGAAGGTTTGAGGTGGCTTTTGAAGAGAAGGCTTGATGGAGAGTTTCAGAGGGAAGGCTCTGAAAACTTGTCCAACAATTGTGGGATAAAAGGAGGGGAGCAGACCTGAGTATTCTGAGTGGAGGCACCAAGCAGGAAAATGAGGCCGGGGAAAATCACAAAGGTAGGCAGGTTGAAAGGAATAAAAGGAATAGTAGGGAAGAGTGAGGATCTTGATGTTGATTCTTTGGGGACAGTGAAGTCTGGCTGTGATGAGCATGTGAAACTTCTTGTGGGTAAGGAAGCAGGGTGGAGTTTTGGATGAGCTGAAGCTTGTGGATGGTGTAGTTGGGTAGATTGGCAATGAGGATATTTGAAACGTTGAGTCTGGACTTGACAAAGGGGTGGATGAGGGTTTTGGAATGGTTGGCCTGCGGTAGGAACACAGTAGGTTGATGTGACAAAGATGCAGAGAGTAGTCTTGATCAGAGGCTAGATGTGAGGGAGAAAAGAGAGTTGAGGGTCGAACCGAAAGCAATGTTGTGCACTGATTTATTGAGTTGCATTGAGAGATCGGGAAGGTGAAGCAAGTTGGAGCTAATAGCAAGAGAGCTTCTTGATGGGAGCTGATGATGATGGCTTTCGATTTGTGAGCTGATGAAAGTTGAGGTTATCCAGAATATCAGTAGACTTCAGGGTAAAAGAGGTAGATTTGGGTGTCATCCACATACATGTGGATATTAATCTCAAGTTTACAAATGATATCACCAAGGGAGAGCACGCAGGTAAGGAAAGGGAGAGGAATGAGGATAGAGAAGTTAGATACTACAGATGACAATGTAAGGGCAGGAGAAGAAGCTATTGAAGGAAACAAAGTGTCCCCCGCCCGGCCCGCCCCACCATCGGCATCCGGACCTTTAGCCTCTCTGTCCGCACCCTCTGGAACTCCATCCCACATTCCCTTCGCCTCGCTTCCTCCCTTGTTTCCTTCAAGACATGCCTCAAGTCCTTCCTCTTAGACTGTGCCTTCAGCTACCCTCCTACCCTTTCTGCCCTCCACCCTCCCTGATCCCAACCCACCCCACCTCCCCGCTCAGGTCCTAATCCCTTACTGTTCAGCGTCTTGGGACGTCCTATTGATGTGAAAGACGCTTTACAAATGTAATTTTGTATTGTATTGTATTCTGTTGTATTCTTTTGTATTGTATTGTATTCTGTTGTATCGTGCACTTTGAGACGTCTCAACAATGTGATAAGGCACTATATCAATTGCAAGGATTATTCTTTTTATGTATTGTATTGTGCTGAGTTAGCGGATCCTGCTGGCACAGCAGTCACGGCACTGCAATTGGCTGTAATACCTTTGGTTATGGAGGAAAACATCATACAGTGTTTTGACTCCAGGATTGCTATACAGATACTATTGCTTGAAGTTGCATGTGTATAGACATTTGGTTGCGAACAAGATTGTTCTCAATTGTGACTCCCCCACAACCATCCGGCCACGAAGAGTCTGCCAACTCTCACTTTAAAAACACACCCATACAAAATGGTAATTTAGGAAATTTACTGAGGATGACCTGTTCTTGTGGAACTGTACCCCAGTAGAAGAAAAAGAGTCAAAGAGGGGACGGGTAAAAATGGTTAGATCGGAGTCCTGTAGCTCAGTGGTTAGAGCACTGGCCTTGCAAGCAAGACATCTG